AAGTACATATCTTTCCAGCTGGCGAGATCTTTCCCTCCCACAATCTGCTTTCTCTATGTACACACACACACACACACACACACACACACACACACACACACACACACACACACACACAGCCATGTCCACTTGTTTATGTGCTGTTTTGGGCTTATTTGAGTTACAGCCACAGAGCTATAGTTATAGTGACCATATGGCTTGCACAGACTACAATATTTACTATCTGGGCCTTTACAGGGAAAGTCTGCCGACCTCAGTGCTAGGAGTTAAGTTCCAAAGAGCAGGGCTCTTGTCAATCAGCTTCATGCTATACCCAGGGCCATGGGCCCCTGGGGTGGGAGAAGGAGACATAGAAACCTCAGTTTGAGGAATTCCTAATGGCTTTTCCTCCAAGCAGTGATTTTCTATTTTTCCAAAGTGTAGACCATTTCTTCTCACATGGGGTGTGTCTCTTTACCTGTTACATCACAAAGAACAGAGGGGTTTGGGGTGCCATTAGGCCAACAGAAAAAGGGATGAAGGGGGAATCACCAGTTAGGAGACTCTAAACCCAGATAAAAACCCCAGGCACCTAAGAGCTGGTGATCTCTCTAGCCCTGAGGGCTCTTCTGTCCTGAGAAGTCTCAAGTACTTGCCAATAAGCCTGGCTTTCACATTGCTGTTTTCCTGTCTAATTTTTTTTTTTTTTTTGGTTTTTTGAGATAGGGTTTCTCTGTGTAGCTTTGCACCTCTCCTGGAACTCACTTGGTAGCCCAGGCTTTGAACTCACAGAGATCCGCCTGGCTCTGCCTCCCGAGTGCTGGAATTAAAGGCGTGCGCCACCACCGCCCGGCCTGTCTAATTTTTTAACTGACCAACTAAAGAGCCTATGTGCTAGCTGATACCATGCCCCCAGTGCCTGGTGAATGGAAGGCATTCACTGAGTGCTTCTGGGATGAATGGAGGTAGCGGATGTGGGTACTAGTTTGCTATAAAAACTAGATGCCAGAGCGAATCACTGACAGCATTAACTTGAGAGACTCACGAACAAAGGAAGGACTCCAGAAGGGCACATAACTCAGAAAGGGACAGGTACAGCCAGAGGCCTGAGAAGAGGGTTTTGGATCTGGATGTCAAGGCAACATTACTGAGCTTCCCCAAATCAGGGGGTTTTGTGCGCTGAAGGGCAAGGGGATGGGAACAACTGATGTGTGCCCACTTTGTCTTGGGAGAGCCAAATGCCCTGCAATCAGAAGTCCAGTTAGAAGGGATAGTCTTTTCTCACATCCAGATTAACAAGCAAGGCAAGGGGCAGGCTGTGACTAGTGGAGGCTCAGCTTTAAAAAAAAGCATCGACTCATTGGGTGCTTTGCCTAGAAGCTAGGTCCTGAGGGTTTATCTAGTTCATTCCAGCGTCCATCCTTCAAATGGCTGAGAAGCACCAAGGTCCCAAATCACACATCACTGGAAGGGTCCACTGCTCCTCTACTGACTCGAGGTAGGAACTTGAAGGGAGTAATGAACAGAGTGCGTGAAGGACCTCCGCTTACTGGCTTGCTCTAGGCTTCCATTCAGCTTCCTTTCATACACAGTCTGGGCTCACCTGCCTAGGGATGGTACCACCCACAGTGGGCTGGGCTCTCCTACATCACCAATTAAGACAGTGCTCCACAGACATGCCCATAGACAAGTCTTCCATTAAGAGTCTCTCTCTCACTCATCAGCTGGGTGGCGGTGGCGCACACCTTTAATCCCAGCACTCGGGAGGCAGAGCCAGGCGGATCTCTGTGAGTTTGAGGCCAGCCTGGTCTACAGAGGGAGATCCAGGACAGGCACCAAAATTACACAGAGAAACCCTGTCTCAAAAGACTGCAGAAAAAAAATTCCCTAGCTCTAGGTGACTCTAGGTTTGTGTCAGGTTGACAGTGGGAGCTAACTGACCAATTCCCTGTGAGGGAGTCAGGCTCAGCGTCCATTCAGTGCCGAGAACAGAATCTAGAAGCTCAGTTGGCCTGTTGTTTCCAATGAGCTTTTGCGTTTAGCATTTCTCTAGGAAAAGTTCCTTCAGCTGTTATCCAATCGATGATTCTGAGGTTTTAAATCATTCCCTGGGAAGAAAAAATTCCACTGCTTGGTCAAGGATGCTATCATGTTTGTTTTACTTTGGCAGCTGGCAGCAATTTGTGTGAGCATGCCGAGAATCAGAGGCAGAAAGAAGCCTGGTGTCCCACCCTCCTCTCTCTGGCAGCTGATTCTTCTGGGTATCACTCAACTCAGGGCCCAGCTGCAGTTTCCTGCATAGGGGATCAATGGCTTTGAGGCTGCTAGGGTTCTCTTTATTCCTTACCCCTACTCAACATCCCCACCCCAGGGAAAACCTGACATCCTCTCCCCCCCCCCCCCCCGCCCCCCATTCACACAATGCTAGCATGAACTTATCTGTATGTTTGCCTATGCAAACGCTGACCTCAAACCTTGTAAAGTTTCCTGGGGTCCTTTGCTGTCTTGTGTGTTCCAGATTGCTGCCACTAGGGGCTGCTGTGGTCAGGGTATAGAGCCCAAAGCAGAGCTGTTTACAAAGAGGGGAAGAGAGAAGGACAAAGCTAAGATCATTTCATAACTAATTCTGTGATCTAGGATCTGGGTAGTGTACTTGGCCCCCGCCCTCACGCCAGTGGCTCCCTTCTTGCACAGTGGCCCTGCCACAGCGGCTCCATCAGAAGGTCTCCTCTGTCTGACCTGCAGGCTTTGTGTTGACAGGTACAGGCAACTTGGTGTGGCTGATGCAAGCTGTTCTTAGAGCTTCCTCTCCAAGACTCCAGGAGAAAGAGCTCTTCCTTTGGGGCGACTCTACAAAGGATGCTGATGGAAAACTGGTTCTTAGTGATGGACTTTGGGTAACAAGCATGGGACAGTGAGAAGCCTAGGTGTGGTCTGTGTGTTTCTGAGTCCATAATTCTCCATTAGAAGAAGATTAAGATAGGGGACTTGTTTAACCTACCTGAGCATCTATTTAGCACCTATTGTGTGCAGGATGTAATTCAAGTTCAGCAGTACTCTGTAAGATCTCTTTGGAAAAGCAGGATTGGACATTTGGGTGGAGGACTGGGGAAGAGTTGAAGGGTTTGAAAGCAGGGCTGAGAAGAGCTAGCAAAGCAAGAGAAGCTTGTAAATGGCAGCTATTTAATGTACCAGGAAATAGGAACTGGATGGGGGCAACAGTGGATTAAAGGGTAAAGTGCAATGCTTGCTTTATTTCCTGTGGCTTAAAACATGAAAGTGGAAAATGGATCCCTGCCAAAGTCCTATTTCCCCCGTGTCGCTGAAAGGCCACAGTGGCACTGTTATTATTTTTGTCACTCTTATCTTGGGCAGTGTTTGCTTAGGGAGAGCAATTGACCACGAAGGACATGCATTAGTGCTTATCAAGTTATCCCTTTGCAATCTGAAAAAAAAAAACCCAGCAAAACAAAACAAAACAAAACAAAAATTACTTTTGCTAGTTGAAAATAGACCCCAAAAGAACAGCATTAACTACAGGGTTGCTGCGCCATAGACTTCAGTAGAGACTTGGGCACTCCTGCAATTTAGCCCTTCAGGGTTCTGCAGTGGGTCTGTAATTTTTGTGAGGCAAAATCCAGGCAGGATTTCTGCCCACACTGTCCATGGTCCTCCTCCCCTGGGAGTAGGAAATTCTACAGGGAAGAAAAATAGCTGGGAACCAGTCCCTCGGTCCTTGTGCAGCCAGAAAGCCTTTGGCATCTGTCTCAGACCCCCCAGGATGTCAAGACACAGAGTAACTCAGCATCTGTGTTGTGAGGGATGAGCAGTCTGGGAAAGGCTTTCTGTTCTCTGCTGCCCAAGTGTATGGAAGTGTCTCCTTCTCTACCCTCCAATCCTTTCTATTGGCATAGGGGACATCAAGGGCAAACACATGCAAGGGGCTGGACCACTATTTAGCATATAGGTGATGCTCAGCTAATACAGTGCTCCCTCCCCTCATGCCTGTGAACAGATATCCATCCTTGTGAACCGATATCCCCCTATCCAGAGCTCTTGTTCTAGTGGTCTCTGGGGAAGAAGAGCTGCATCCTATCTCAAGGCTGTGGCCCAAGGTTAGGAAAGGATACTGTGGTCAGCTTCTATTAGGCCTGGCAGAAAGGACGGTGTTCTAAAGAGACACTTGTGTCTTCGGCTTGACTGTCTGACTGTGGATGCTGGAATCTCGTACTGGGAGGAGGAAAAAGTGCCAGCCAGAGGGGGAACTTGTCTCCCAGAAAGAGATTCCACACAGTTCTAAAAACTTGCCAGAGTGAGACTGAAGCCTAGATGCGGGTCAGTGGTGGGTGGGACACTTAGGTGTGCACATTCTTGGCTTTCCATTTAAACTTTAATCTCACATCAGGATCCCAGAAGACAGACTTGAGGGGTTCTCTGGAGCTCTGTCCCCCTTCCCAATGTGGCCACGTTGAATGAATCTCCTTTTTTCTGCTTTCCATGATTAATTTGGTTCTTCTAATTGGCTCGTGGAGGATGAGTGACCAGACCTGGTTTGGGGCATGAGTTGTGACCCTCAGGATTGATATCTGGCTCTCTTGGGGCCAGAATGTTATTTCCTTGGGTTCTCTAGGAATGCAACCAGCATGAGTGTGGAAGTGGAAAACCTAGGAAATGGGCTGTGTGGAGAATGGGCAGATTTAAGACTGACTCCGCTGAGAATCATGACGGGGCTCTAAGTGTTAATGGATTCTGTGTGAGTTATGTATTTTCTGCTTGAAAGCATCTGACAGATTTTAAATGCATCAAATGGAGCAAGTTTGTGGTGGAGTGCACAAACACACACACACACACACACACACACACACACACACACACACACACTCACTCACTGAGGGCTTCCGTAGGATCCCAGTGGCCAGGGATGCTTCTCTTCTGGCATGAAATCAGATGCCTACTTCCTCTCTCAGCACAGAGTTCTCCGGATTTACATAAATATAAAGATGAATGTGTACGTCTGGAAATCACACCCTGCCAGATTTCTCAGTTTTGTCTTTTTTTGTGTGTGTGTGTGGAAGGCTCAGCACTCAAAACCCTTAGATAGAAGTGGTCCAAAGTGACTACTGGCTCCAGCCTCTCCAAAGATTTTCACATAAACCTTTGCCTTACCCGAGAAGTGCCCATGAACAGTAGGTACCACCAGGAGGCCACGGACAGCACCACTGTCAGATCTCATGCTGTGGCTTGAAAGTCTTGTCCCCCAGAGCGCAAGTGACAAACCTAGTCTCCAATGTAGCAGCATTGGAAGATAGGCCCAGTGTGGCGTGGTCAGCCTGCAGGGGCCTCACCCTCATGGACGGATTGATGCTGATCATGAAAGAGCTTAAGGCTGTCATTTGACTTTGTTCTCTTGCCCATGTGATGCCTTCCACCACTTTACGGCGTATCTAGAGGACCTCACCAGATGTAGCCTCTCAGCCTTGGATCTCCTCCAGAACTGTAAGAAATGCATTTACTTATATTTTTATCTTAATTTATAGATTACACAGTCTGTGATATTTTGTTACAGCAACCCAAAATGGATTAAAGCCTCAAATCAGTTGGAATCTGCCTGTTACTCAGATCTCCATGTAATCAAAACTGTCTGAGTGTAATAGCACAGGCCTATAACCCCAGTGCTCAAGAGTCTGAGGCAGGGGGATTGTGAAAGTTGCAGGGCAGTCTTGACCATACAGCAAACCTTGTCTCAATAAGATGAAATAAATTTCAAATAAATTGAGAGTCATTGCCTTTGTTCTTACAATCGCTCCCCCAAAAAGCCAGCCCAAGACTCGACGGCATCATAGCAGATCGTGAGCTTTTGAAGCAGTGTGCTGTGGGGCTCTACGTGAGCCCTGAACTCTATGTACAATGATTAATGTGGTGTGAATGAACAAATATTTATGGTGTGCCCACTCTGCATGTGAGCGAAGATGCAGTTCTGTGCCCCTTGCCACCTTCTCCAGGCTGCCACGGGTGCAGACGGCTCTCAACATGCCATGACTTCCCTGCATCTTGTCTTCAGCTAACCCAGGTCGTCAGAGCAATGCTCGGTGTTGACTCACGCAGCACATGTTTCTTGGACATTTCCTAAAAGCAGGTGCTTAGCAAGAGTGCCTATTTCTAAACCAATCTCACTAGCAGTGGAGGGGAAGTTTACATCCGTGGTTCGGATGTAACAGTCCAGCAGTCTCCAGTGCAAGCTCGACTCTGGACTGGCGAGCTGGTGTCGTGGCAGTGGGCAGTTTCTTCTATTTCCTGGGTATCTTCAGCATGAAACGAGGCCATTGGCATACATTAATAAGAGTCCTCAGATTCCACATTTTATCTGATGCCACGAAAAGAAGAAGAGACACCGCCACCTCCCCCTCTGGCCCTCCCACCTCAATGTCAGCCATGGTTGTTAGCTCCCTGGCAGAGTTCACCCCGGCAGCAACCAGAGGTGATGCTGCTCTGTTTTGCTCCCCCCCCCCCCCCCCCCCCGGCTGTAACCCTATCCACAGTGTCTGTCTTTCTCTGCTCTGTTTTTGCAAGGGAATTCTTAAGAGGAGAGAAAGAGTGTGGTAAATAAACCCTTTCCTTCCTGTCATCTGTACTCCTTTCACACCACCGTCCACACCAGGCGACTGTTTTCCTTTCCTCTTATAACAAGTGAGGAAACACAGAGAAAAAAAAAAAAACCCACAGCCCAGGAAGGTAGCCCTGCATCACCCCAGGGTGAGTCAGACTCTCAGCAGAATGTAAGCAGGAGGAAGTGAGCTGGAGGTGTGATTTACAGAGGCCGAACACCAGACCTGCTCCCAGGAGTGCTCTGCCAGAAGACAAGCGGTCCAGGGATGGATGCCTGTGCCCACACAGAGGTCAGCTGCAGTCTTAATGCCCAGACATTTCCCAGACAAGCTCTTTTAAGCATCACTTTGCCACAAACAACGAGCAGGATGCCAAACGCGTGGTTGGTGAGTGGATGATTTAAGGAGGAAGATGGCGCTGTGGATGAGCTTTGTGATGGAGAGGTTATCTGGAGCTTCCTTTTCAGTCTTGTGCCCTTTCTCCCCTGTAGGCAACCACAGTTGAATGCAGCCTTTAGACCAGGACCCCTTGGGATGGGAACTCTCCTGCTTCATCACTATCCCAGCCTGGTCTTCCTGCTTTAACAGAATACCACAAACTGGGTAATTTATACAGAATCGGCCTGTATTTCTCACAGTTCTGGCAGCTGGCAAACCAAGAGAATAGCACTAACGAGTTAGGTGACTGGTGAGGGTTCACTCTCTGTTTCCAAGATGGTATCTTTCTGTGTGTGCTCTTCAAAGGGGATAGAAGCCGTGCCCTCACACAGCAGAAGGGACGAAGGTCGGGCAGCTTTCCATTCATGAGGATGGCGCCCTCCCAGCCTGATTAGCTCCCAAAGGCCCATCTCTTAATGCCAGCACCTGGAATTTTAGAGGGAATGTGTGAGCTGTAGCAGGCACAAGGCCACCCGGAGGTCCAGGGCTCTTCCCTGTGATTTAGTTGTGAGTGTTGAGTGACTGGGAACCAGGATCTGCTCACCTGTAGCTGCACGGCCCTGGGTGAGTAAGAGACTAGCTGCTTTGCATGGGTTGTAACTCCTTCCGAGTCTGCATCTGTCAGGGCTCCCACTGCATGCCGCAGGAATCACCTTTGGCCTCTACACAAATGGAGGTGTCTGAGCAAGGTGGAAGAGCAGGGAGCCGTCCTGGCCCTCCTGTGTGCCACTGTCACCTCTGCCATTGCCACAATGAATGACTGCCCACCTTTTGCACCTTTGCCTGAAGTACTTTGTCAGCGTTCAAAGGATGGATGCCCACCCTCTACATGACCTCAGCTTCCACCTTGCAAAAAACAACCAAGAGAAAAGCAGACGTCTGAGCTTTCCTGGTTTGTCTGTATCCTTCGTCTTTTCTGGTATTGTCTTTTGAATACGCCAGAGGCGGCATCTCATAGAGGATGCTGCATGAGCACCCGCCAGCAACCTGCCATCTCCAAGCTAGGTGTCTTCTGTGAAGTGGGGCTGGTTCTGCCAACCCCGCAGGGTGGCTGTGAGGAGTGGGTGAGGGATGGTGGGAGGGGTCCTGGAGAGCAGAGCACAGTGTTCTGTGATTGACAGAGAGCAGGCTGCCCATCCTTTCCTCCTGGCTCACTATCCCTTCCCACAAACTCTGGCTTTGGTTTGTTTATTCAGTTGGTTTTACCTGCTTTGTGCCCCGAGGGTCTGGCTTCAGGTAGCAGGGTTTCATCCCTAGTGAGTATCCTGTCAGGCCAGTGTTTGCTCTCATCCTGGCCTCTGTTTTGCAGCTGATCCGAGAGCTGGAATAGATAGATGTGGGGCCAACCCTCTGTAGGGCAGCCTTTCTACAGCACTCAGTAAGAACCAAAGAAACTTTCCCTTCTATGGAGGGCCCTTCCTTCTTGTCCTTCCCCTTCTTGCCCCTTCCCCCTCCCCCTCTCCCTTTCCTTCTCATCCCTCTCCTTCCTCTTCCCATCCCTCTCCTTTTCCACCATTCTCCCCTGCAGTGTGGACCATTACTGTCCAACAGGTTAGGGATGATGCTAGATGCTGTCAGCATCTCTGCTCTCTGGTTTCAGAGTCTGTCTGTGACACACCTCCCCACACTGTGGTCCTCCAAAAAGATGTCACTCAGCTATAGCTGCAGTAACAAGATTCTAGATGAAGAAATATCACATCAAAACAATACTCCCAAGTTCCCTTGAAGAGAAAACCCAGCCCCAAAGCACTACAGATTAAGGGAGAATTCAAAATATGAGCAGGCAGAGCAGTTGTGAGGAAGGCTAAGTTATGTGCTCTCTTAGACTCACTCAGATAAAAACAAGGACTAGGCAGGTGTGGTGGCACACCTGGAGCTTGGTAGGCAAAGGCTGGTGGATCTCTGTGAGTTCAAGGCCAGGCTCATTTACATAGTGACTTCTAGACTAGTCAGTGCTACATAGTGAGACTCTGTCTCCAAAACAAAGCAAAAAACAAAACAAAACAAAACAAAAAAAACCAAGACTAAATAAATTGAAAATTATATTACAGAATAGACTGCAAATGTCATAAAACTTGAAATTTTAAAAAGAACTAACAAAAATAAGGAGAGATGTAGAGCCAATTTCCTTAAAGTCCTTAGGGTAAAGTATATAAGTATTATGTAAAATTGTTATAGAGGGCTGAATGGAACTTCAGAATTTTTTTTAAATGTATTTATTTTACATCCCAGCTGCAGTTTCCCCTCCCTCCTCTCTTCCCAGTCTCCCCCACTGCCTCTGTACCCCCCCCCACCCCGTTTCCAACCCACTACTGTTTCTGCTTAAGAAAGGGCAGGTCTCCCATGAGTATCAAAACATGGCATATCAAGTTGCAGTAAGACTAAGCACCTCCCCATGTATTGAGTAAAGCTGGGCACGGTGACCCAGTGTGAGGAGTAGGGTTGCAAAAGCCATCAGAAGAGTTGGAAACAGCCCCTGTTCCAGCTGTTAGGAGTCCCACAAGAGGACCAAACTACACAACTGTAACATATATGCAGAGTGCCTAGGCCAGTCCCACGCAGGCTTCCTAATTGTCGATTCAGTCTCTGTGAGCCCCTATGAGCACAGGTTAGTTGATTGTGTGAGCCTTCCTGTGGTGTCCTTGACCCCTCTGGCTCCTACAATCCTTTCTCCTCCTCTTGCTATTCCCCAAACTCTGCCTAATGTTTGGCTGTGGGTCTACATCTATTTCCATCAGTTAATTGCTGGATGAAGCCTCTCTGATGACAATTGGGTTAGGCACCAATCTGGTCACAGGAGATGGTAAGTTCAGGCTACGTATCCGCTCTTGCTAGGAATCTTAGCTAGGGTCTTCCTTGTAGATTCCTGGGAGATTCCCTTGCACCAGGTTTTTGCCTGACTCCGAAATGCTTCCCCTTTCCAGTAGTCTCTTTTAGTACTCTCCTCCTCCATTTCTGTTCGCTCATGTTCTCATCCCCACCCACCCCCAGTCCACTCACAAACTCTCTTCTATTCCCCCTTCCCAGGGTGTACTCCTGTGAACCCTCCTTATTACCTAGTCTCTCTGTGTCTGTGGATTGTAGCATAGTTATCCTTTATTTTACAAATAATATCCACTTATGAATGAGTACATACCGTATTTGTCTTTCTGGATCTGGGTTACTTCACTCAGGATGATTTTTTTTTCTAGTTTTAGCCATTTGCCTTCAAATTTTCCGGGGTCCTTGTTTTTAACAGCTAAATAATACTCCACTGTGTAAATGTACCACATTTTCTTTATCCATTCCTCAGTTGAGGGACATCTAGGTTGTTTCCAGATTCTGGCCAATATAAATAAAGCTTCTTTGAACATAGTTGAGCAAGTATCCTTGTGGTATGATTGAACATTTTTTGGGTATATGCCCAATAGCCATATAGCTGGGTCTTGGAGTAGGTTGACTTCTAGTTTTCTG